GGTTAGGTTAGGTTGGGTTGAGTTAGGTTAGGTTGGGTTGAGTTAGGTTAGGTTGGGTTGGATAGAGTTAGTTAGGTTAGATTCTTCTCAGGTTAAATTGCAATTGTAAATTTTTAAAAGCTGTAATGTGTCCATACTCTTCTTTTTGTAATAATACACTTATTAAACCATAATAATACAAATTGGTTTTCAAAAATCAACATCGCCTACTGCCCTACATGTGTCAGCCTTAGCAGGTTATCATTTCTAATAGCTGAATAACTGTGGATATCACATAAGTAATCTTAGGTCATGAAACGTAGAGTACGTGTCAAATATGAAATCTAGCTAGTGAAGTGTCATGATATAAACTAAGGAATTAAATAGCAAGGGGAAATTGGCTTCTTGGTTTTGGTAAACACCTAAATAAATTAATTGAATTGAAATAATAAAACAATAATACGGTATTAACCACAACTGTTACATTTTCTGTAATATTTTAAAAACACTAGCTCAGGCAACAGTGAAGAAACATTTTCATCGATGTTGTGATAAAGGGTAAGCACATTGCCAATATGTCAAAGTAAACTAAGAAAAATAATCCAAACTATTCAAGGAGAGTCATTGAAAAATGCACTTCACAGAAACTGACTACATACCCACAAAATCTAAAAATACGTCTAAGTACTAAGTTATAATGTAGTTGGTAGAAAGAAACGTTATCACCATGATGTGCGATTTCAGCTCATAATTTGTATATGGTCACTGTCAACACTGATTGTGGAGGCAGAGGCAGTCTCCGAAACGTTGAATCGCAAGGAACATTATGACGATGATAACCCGAGAGTACTCCATTGCTAAACGAATATACCATTCACCCGTGAAATGGCATAAGATTAATAAAGTATGTTTAAACGAAACTTATAGTAAATTCGCTGTGGGTAATCAATTTACTGGTGCATATTATAAGCTGAGTTAATTAAACATATTTATTTGTTTAAATCTGGTCAGTCTAATCACAATAAAATTCCTATTAAATATTAAAATA